TGCGCATCCAGTCGTGCAGATTCCCACCAGAATCTCTGGAGGTAAACACACTCCTCATCCCTGTAGGGAGGGCAGCCACTGCCTGAGGGTCTTACGACCTGCTTCACAGGAGACGGGACTAGTCCAAGAGCCCTTACTGTATGTGCTGTTTCTCAAATTATGCCAAGGCGCCATATTTGGGGGCAGCTGTCCCGAACCTTGTCATAAGTGAAAGTTGAACACTCTGCAGTGACCGTCTCGGATGGACTGCTTGTATTGACCAGTGACTGAGCCCACAACTCAGGATCTGGAAGCAGGATATGTCTAGGAGGTTGCCGGAGCTGCAGGTGGTCATGGGCTCATCATAGCTATTACCTTTAAGGGTCTCCAAGTCCTCTCCAGAAAGAACTGGCTTTACAACCTTAGTCTCCTTGGTAGATGTTAGAACCTTACAGAGTTACCTCGTCTGATGTGAGTAAATAAATGGAAGTCTGCAACCCTTCCTCTGGTTGCCTCTAACTTTCTTCAGTTAACCTCTTTTATTACCTGTTTGACTTCTATATTCTTTTTCTGTCAGGCAGTTCCTGAACTCCTGATTATATTTTTGATGCCATCCAGTAGATTCTGAATACTATACCTTGTGTTCGAAGTTAAAATCGAACCCCTAAAAAATCTCCATGGAATGTTTACCAGAGTAATTTAATTTTGGAGTGCTAGCCCCAGGATAAACTGGTTTCAAGATGTGTATAAGTGAGTTAATGTTTCTGTAAAGTTGTAAACTATTTATAAACTATTTACATGGCAGCAGTTACCCTCCACCTCCTCCCCTTCCCCAAAGACATTTTAGCATCACAGAGACTTAATTTCAAGCCATTCTTTCTTCCAGTTCCTAACAATAAAATAATAAGAAATATAGCTATGACTTGTGATTCTACTTTTCCAAAAATGATAGTGAGCCATTAGTGTATAAGTTAAACAAGAAAGTGAAGGAAGCACAGAATATATACCTATTTTAAGATCCTAGAAATTATTTTCAGATCCATTAAGAGTTTATTTTCATCAATCTTGATTTTTTAGGGGGATTATTAAGGATGTGTAAGGATTATACCTGCCCCCAGAGTCAAAAATATGAAGAAGGGAGGGAAAAAGGAAAGAAAAAGAAGAAAGAGAAGGAATAACTTTATGTTATTCTTAATACCTTTCTCCACAAAGTGAAACAGAGTATAAGAGTGGTTAATAATAGAATAACTGTTACCAGAACTCCTCTGCTCCTTTTGTAGATTCAGGAGTTCAATTTATCCTGAAGGAAATTGGCACATATTTTAGAAGGCACGCTTGGTAAGCTGACAGGTCTGTGATGTCAAAGTAATGGACAGTTCGCTTTTTAAATGAATTATCTACTCTAGGTCCAAGCAAATGGAAGCGTACCACTGGTCAGTTCTCTGTGGCCACTGGCCAACACACAGAGGTTACATCAGTTCGTGGAGTTTTAGAGGCAGGGATAGGCACATAAATGTGGGGGATGGGCTTGCCCTGTTTTCTCCATGACTTTTCCTCCATGCCTCCCATCTTCTCCTGGTATCTGGGAAGCCTCTGGTTATCACGCGAGGCTGGGGTCCCTGAACTTCTTCATCCCGCTCCTGCTGCGGCCTCCAGGCCTGTCTCCAGTGCCCAATGTCCAAGCCCACCTAGAATCATCAGTCTGGAATGTATTCCCAGCAGCGGGAATTCTAGGAAAGTCTTTACATGTGGCCTTCAGATTTTGTTTGAAATGTTGCCTGGCCAGGATTTGAACTCCTAAAATTCCTTTTCAAATAAATTATTAGAATCGCAAAAATTAGACACCAATATTCTTATTTCCTGCCTATTAAAAAAAAGGGGGTGGTGGTTGTTGTAAAAGCATTGTTACAAAGGCACTTGAGGATAGGACAGCATGGTCATACTTTCATTAATAATGGCCTGTTCGTGAACTTGAAAACAGTATCCATGTATTGAAGCACTACCGAGCCTTATTGGAATTATGGATGGAACTCCTACAGAATTTCCCATGTTACTTTGATTCATTGATTCAGAAATGTATGACCAGAGGAGAAAAATAATCATCAGGTCTCGTTTATTTCAAATATGGCCAGTTATAAGAGTGTGAAACCACAGAGAAAATATTTTTGTATTTCTGTACAGCTAGAGCTTTCTCAGCATTTTTATTGACTCACGGGGCCTGAGCTAAAAGACAATCCTGAGGACTTAACCCCAGAGATGCATAGTTACATTTTCAAGGAGTGGGGATGGGGAGAGGAGGATGAGACCCATCTCTGCGGAGACATTGCCAAGGCTGTAGAGCGAGACATCCTTGTTTATCCACTCCTAGGACATATGTTACTTTCCCATGGCTAAGAACCCAAGCTCCTTCCCAAGTTGAATTTGTATACATTGAGGAGGTAGATTTCTCTCCCTCTCAGAGGGGAGGGTGGGCGCTGTCCTCTTTTATACAGCCATCCAGATTCATATTTTTTAGATTTCTCACCCACAGTGTAGACTAAGTAACATCTGGTCCCCATTATGTCACCCTGGAGAGGAAATTACGATACAGGGAACCAATGCAATAATTTTCTGTAAGTAAGTAATACCCTATTCTGCTCCAGAAGCCTTATTTGCATTCAGGATAATGTTAATAAATATAGATATTAAAAACTTTAAGAGCTCAGATATGTGTTAAAGTAGATCCCAGGTCCACTCCTCTCTTCTTCTCCCTCAAATTCTAATTCGGTAAGTCTGGGTGTCTGAGAATCTGCACTTGAACAGCCATCCCAGTGATTCTTACCAGACTGGCCCACCACCCAGAAATGAAAAGCCCCTCCTACAGAGGACCAGCCTGCCTGTGCTGGCACACTTCCTTAAGTTCAGTTATGGCACTCTTCTCGTCCTTTTGATAGTAAGTAGGTGGATTTAGGGATACAAAACTTTAGGATGAAATTGAAGGTTGACACATCTCTCTGGTTGGCCTTTTCTGCCATCCTTGCAGACACCTGTGTGTGTACATGTCTGTGTCTGTGTTTTAAGAAATACAACCTTTACATCATCAGATCTTCTGGAATCTTTAGTGTGATCAACAATTTGTCTCTCTCAACCCGCGATGTCAGTATTCTACCAAAACTTCCCTGACTTCTCCATTCTCTCTACTTATCATCTTTACAATCCCGTCCCCTTTGTTTGTTGCTTCACAGTTTACAAGACATTTTTACACTTATTATCCCATTTGATTCTCACAGTAATCTTTGGGAATGAACAGGTATTGTTAGGAGTATACTGTTTATGTAAATGAAAAATATGCGATATTTCAAAATATTTTAAGTAAGATGTGGGCAGGCTGATAGCCAGTATCCGTGTCGGACATGAGTTGTTCAGCTAAGGTGCTGAGGCGCTTTTAAATGGAAGGGAGTCTCTCCACTGCCATGGCACCAGCTGCTAACAAATTACAGGCATCGGACATATTGAGGGGGGCCTCTTCCGATGTGCGCAGAAACTACTGTCCATTCCTGCCTCAGCTCTAATAATTATTTTTTTCTAACCAAAACATAAATACTAACATGTAAGATATTAAGAAAAATATGTTTTCAAACTGTTCTTAAGCGCCTTTGAATGTTAAACAATAAGGACAGAACGTTTTAGTTTTCAAAGCACTTTTGACATATTATCTCATTCAGTTCCTAACCACGTGTGAGAGACCTACAGTATCCACCCTATACAGATAAGAAAACAGAGACTGAGAGGGTCGCAAGGACATGTGTTCAGGAGGGGGCAGAGCCGGGACCTCCACATAGAGAGTATCGAGACTTCCAAGCTGGTACTCCTCCTACGAAAAGTCTCTAAGATTATGATGAGAAACCAACAAGAGGTGTCTTTTGCTTAAAGAATCCAGAGCTGAAATTTCCAAGTTATTTAAGTCTGTAATTTTCTTTTTTTTAATTTTCATTTTAATTGTTGTTCAAGTATAGTTTTCTGTCTTTTACTACCATTCCAGCCCACCCCCCCAGTCCTTCCCAGCTCTCTCCCATTTCCACTCCCCCCTAGTTTTTGTCCATGTGTCCTTTATACTTGTTCCTGTAAACCCTTCCCCTTTCCTCTGAAATTCCCTCCCCTCTGGTCACTGTCAGCCTTTTCTCTATTTCAGTGTCTTTGGTTATAGTTTGCTTGTTTCTTTGTTTTGTTGTTTAGGTTCCTGTTAAAGGTGAGATCATATGGTATTTGTCTTTCACTGCCTGGCTTATTTCGCTTAGCATAATGCTTTCCAGCTCCATCCAAGCTGTTGCAAAGGGTAGGAGCTCCTTCTTTCTTTCTGCTGCATAGAATTCCATCGTGTAAATGTATCATAGTTTTTTGATCCATTCATTTACTGATGGGCACCTAGGTTGTTTCCAACACTTAGCTATTGTAAATTGTGCTGCTATGAACTGTCATTTTCTAAGGTATAGACTCTTGGGAACATGAGTTCAGAGGAGGCCAGGAAAGAATGCTGGTGACAAGCTAAATGTCACTAGCAGTGAGGCACTGACCTGTGACCCAAACAAAGTGATGCTGTGACAACTAACCAGGTAGCAGGTCCTCAAAGACTGTGCGCCTCCCTGACTGTAATGAATCCACATGTACCAGGTGGGGCAAGAGAGGTTTACAGTTGTGAGTGTGTGAAACGCCGAGTTAACTCCTGTATTACTTATTAATTTTTGTGTTACTTTCCATATCAACAGCTGTAGACCTACTTTTGCCCACCCCTGTATTTATTAGGCACACTTCATAAAAATTCTCCATGACAGTAGCGGTATAAAAATGTCTATCAGTACAAAATCCATTTAGATGCAAAAAAGATAGCAAGTACGATGAGCATTCTGGTCCAAAGCAAAAGTTTTTACTCTTATCTGTTGCGTAGGGCAACTTCCCAGACTGTTCCTTCAACCTCTGCTCAGAGTCCCTTCAGAATTCCTCTGTCCTTTCTTTGTCTAACACCCCCGTTCTTCTCTGAACAGGATCTTCAGAGGCAGGCTGGAGCACTGGAAACCGAAGCCATCCTCCGCAGCGCCCGCCTCCCCGCGCTCACCTTGCATGCCTTTCTCGTGGTTTCATGAAAGCCGCAAAGGATCCTATTCCTTCAGGAACCTGCCTTCACCTACAAGTCCCCTCCAGCCTTCTCCTGAAACTCTAAATTCAGATAAAAAGGGGTCCAAGGTAGAAAACACATGGATTAAAAAAAAGCAAACAGGAAAACCCCAAATCTCTTCCTCCTCTTCAATCTTTGGAAAGCATTCTCAACTTGTGTGTATGCTCTGGATCCGAGAAACCAATGTGATAACACTGCAATAAACCTTGCATGGTATTTCCTGTGTGGGGAAAAAAAAAAACACATTTAACCATCACCTTCTTTAATACTGTTCCATTCTAGATTGTGCGTTAATCTTTGATTTGCCTGTCTTTTCACATATTGCTATTTAATCTCAGTTTGACAGTTAAGCCATGCTGGGAAAGATGCATTTGAATTATGGCACAGTGTGATAGATCTGTTTACCGAGTATTCCATTTTAAATTACATTACAAAACTTATTTTTGCTGTGCTCTTCAAGATTTACAGGAAAACAAATAAATTTGGGAATGAATTTGTGTTCAATACATCTAAATGAAACTCTTTAAAACAAACCAATGCTGACATAGCACCCTCACTTATTTCTTCCTTTAAATCAGACTTCCGTGTCAAACAGCTGTTGTAATTCTATCACAAAAGTTCTTTAACTTCAGCAGAATTAGAAATTACGTGCATGGATGCTACTTGTATTTAAATGCATGACGGTTGTTTCCAGCATGACACTGCAAACCTTATCTAACATTTTATTGAAACACGTACAGTTGCTAACTTTCACATGTTGTTTGGTCTCTTTTCCTCTGTGTTCCCTTTCTCAAACAGAAACGTGTGGTTAATGTTACTTGAATTTAATGCTTTTCTTGTGGTCAGCAGCTCACAGGGGTTTGATGGGCTTTGGGGTTGTACTTCCACTGACAATACCAAATGGTAATGCGCTATGTTAAGTGCCCTCCTACCAGCCTAGTCCCGTGTGCTCTGATTTAATTTCCTCTTCTGAAGATTTAGCAAACCTTGGAGTTTGTTTGGTAGTGAGCTCTCCAGAGGTATTGCTCTCTGGCAAGGTATTTATTCTTGACAGCCAACTAAACCCTGTAAAAGGGAATGTAGTGGAAAACTAAAAATCCAATTTCTGAAGAAACAAGATGGTGTTGGTCAAGTTCTTAGAGTCCCTGGGAAGCCAGTCATTCTAGAATTAGAAAGACAATTTGGACAGCAGTAGACCACTTTGACCTTGAGACATTTTCAGTATTGGACTTGATATATTTCAGTGTTGTTTGAATAATTCTACCATTATCTCACACTGGAGAGACTCCAGATTTGGTTTAAAACATTTTCACAAATGCAGCTCTGTAATCATTGTGAATTTATTTGACTTTCATATCCACTAAACATTCTAATGACATTCTGGGGAAGTTTTCTTTCTACTCCCCGCCTCCCCCACCACCAGGCGGTTATTTGGGAGTGCATATCTCTGCAAGGTGCAGCCTCTTTGGTGCCCTGCGGGGGCCGGGGGAGAGTTCTACTTCGGTGTGTAACTAATGTCGTGTCTGATTGTGACCTCCCCCAGAACACATCGTCTTGAAGGTTACATCCAGGAGCAAACCTGCCATTCCTCACAGTGCTTATCACAGCCAACAGCAAGCGCTCCTTCCCAGGGGGTACTCAACCTACCTTTCTAATAGGGGTTGCCATCTGCTCCTAATGAATTCAGTTCTCCACACCATCTTGTATTTTTTCACTTACACTGTTACTCATCACAATTAGGGTCAAAGAAGATAGGGTCATTAATATCACTCCTCTGAGCAGTTGTGGAGGATAATGAATGCTGTACCCTTGGAGAGAAACTGAAGAATGATTACCCCAAAACGCCTCTCCTTTCATCTGATGGAGAAAGCGCTCAAAATTTCCCATTCACCGCAAAAGGTGCAGTGTTATGAAACACTGCCTAATCAGAGGTTATGAGCAAGCCAAAAATGAATTTCTTCTAAGAGTACTTCAAAATCTTTTTAGAACTGGTAAACACACCTAACCTCAGGTTCCTTCCTGGTGCTCATGTAACGCTGAGCTTCATTTATTTTTACAGAATTTTACCTTCAATGATGACTTCAGCCCCAGCAGTACCAGTTCGGCAGACCTGAGCGGCATGGGAGCAGAACCCAAAACCCCAGGGCTCTCTCAGTCCTTGGCACTGTCGTCAGACGAGGTATGCTCGTGGCACGTACGACAGGACTGCTCTCTCGGTCATACATGGGGTAGTCCATGTGATACCCATGAACCATCCCAGGGAAAACGTGTTCAGGTAGATTTTGCATGTAGAGCACCAGGACCACAGTTTCATACCTGATCGGGAATTGTCCTCTCCCTCCCTCTCTGTTTCCACATGAAAGCAAAGTATTGTTTCTGAGCCCCTTGAAGCTGCCCAGGGACCTCCCTTAACACCACGTACTGGCCTTTCTGATTTAAATGGGATGACTCTCAGCGGAGGTGTGGGGCCCAGAGGCAGGGCACTGGAGAGAAAAACCAGGAAACAGCTCAGAAACCTCATGGAGTTCACAGATTTGCCATTCCCTTTCCCCGTCACCTTCCCCACCATTACCCGCACCCTAAAATTCTGATATCCCCTCTGAGTTGGGTGTGGCCCCTGACTGAGAATCCCTGTGTTGGAGAGGGGAGAGGTGCTGTTCGATGAGGGAGGATAACTAGATAAGAACCACTAGTTTAGAAGCCAGGGTCAAAATAGCATTGCTAAGAACTCTCAGGAAACAGCCCCAAGAGTTGAGTAGAGGGAAGAAATACCAGTCCTGGGGTGGTGGAGGGGAGGAGGCGAGGTGCTGTAACTAAAGGTATTTGTTCCTAATATGTGCTTTTAGTTATTTCTTTCTTACATGTTTTGTTCTGTTTTGTTTTATTCTGTAAAACATTTTTTTCCCTCTTAAACTTTTCTGCCCACATTCTTCGGGCTTGGCATGACTTTAATTTTATTAGGACTTTGTACGGTGTATGTTGTGTCTCCTGTTTCTATAACACTTTTCTCTCTGATTCCTTTGTCGCTCCCTCACTCAGAGCCTGGATATGATAGATGACGAGGTGAGCTCCCAGTGGTCGGCATGTGGTGGCTTTTGGGGGATTGTTTGAACCTTTTCTCTCTGTGTGGATGGTTTAAAACTCAAACAATACAAGAGCACTTGCCCCTGTAGTGGAGGAGTTCCCTGTGCTCTGTAGTTTCACTCTCCGCCCTTGTCTGTATCTCAGTTTAAACGGTGTTTCTGATTCCAGAGGCTCTCCGGAGTCCCGAGACATGTCCCCATCACCATTACCCGACTGACACGGTCCACTCTGTTTCGCCTCCTTTGCCTTCATCTCGGCTTCCCCATCCCCTTTTCTGTGTTCTCTCCGCCAGTCACTGAGGTGGCTTCTGTGTCTCCTCCCAGACCTGTCATTGCCTCATCTCCTCTCAGCTTAGTGGTTCTAGGAGCCAGCCTGCCCTTTGCACTATTAAAAATAATATTCTGCATTGGACAGATTCGTAGACTTGCAGAGCCTCAGCTTCCCCATTTAATGAAAGTAATTATCGATGCTACCTGCCCCACCTCCCTTACAGGTTTGCTCACTGCCCAAATGAAATAATGGCTGTGGAACTCCCCCCTAAAAATGCCTGTGGGCTTAACGCTCCCCTCTTCCAAGTGAAAGATACCACAGTATTGTTAAATATGTTTTTACGTATCTCTAATGTCTTATCAGAGAAGAAATGTAGGGGGTTGCGTTGCATATAGGGATTAATGAAGTAATTTTTTTTCTGTATCTGATCATCTTTCCAAAGTGATTTAATGTGGAAGCTCACAACATTAGAGTGTTTGTCAATATTAAACTTCCCACATTAAAAATGGTGCTTTATTTGGGGGCGTTTAAAATTTTCAATCATCTAAAAACATGTAGGTAATAATAACTATGTATGTGCATTCCATGCACAGCTGGGACCATTAGCTTATTGTTTTATGGGGTAAAAGTCAATATGGCTCTAGGAGGCGAGAAATTCCTTTTGAGAGTGTAGCATACCGTGCTGAGCCGTAGCATTCGGTCCTTTAACAACACTGCGTAACATTCCTACCTCAGATCCTTGATGATGGACAGTCTCCCAAACACAGTCAGTGTCAGAGTCGGGCCGTGCAGGAGTGGAGTGTGCAGCAGGTTTCTCATTGGCTAATGAGCCTAAATCTGGAGCAGTATGTATCTGAATTCAGTGCCCAAAACATCACTGGAGAGCAACTTCTGCAGTTGGATGGAAATAAACTGAAGGTAAAGAATTATATATCTGTGTTAGGTTACCAAGTGTAATTTGTATCACTCATAGCACCTGGAGTGTTTTCATTAGAGATGGACATTCTGCGTCTGGGAGAGGTCATTCTCACTGACGGTCAGCTGAAAGGACGTTGAATCATTTGAATAGTAAATGAAGTTTTAGAAAGTCGTCAGGGGTTCCAAAAAGTAGGATGCTGTGTAGGAGAGCTAGGGACTCACTCCATTGCTCCCACCCAGGAACACATGGTCCATGGATTAACTCTACTCACTGCTATGTAGTAGGAGTTTTAATGATGGCCAGTGTGGACTCTTTCATCATGCAAGAGTTAAAACCCAAATCCATGAGTCTACCTTTCTTTATTCATTTCTCCTCCACCCACTACTCGTCCCTGCGCACCACTCTGAAACCGGGGTGATGTCTTCCCCAGAACTTTCTTCCCCAGATATGTGCGGGTGTGTCTTCCCTCGCCCTCCATCACACGCTCATTCTCACCCGTCCAGTCCATCTCTTTGCAGAGGCTGAGGAGGCGGCTCCCATCCCCCTAAGGAAAAAGGGGAACAGGAGCTTACAGCCAGCTCTCCACCCCCACCCTCAGTCTCCCGCTGGGCAGATGGGCAGATGAGTATCTCTTGACAGTCTTGAAAAGGTTAGAGATCAATCAATATCCTGTGAATATGAAGGCCCATTGACAAGGCTGTCCCTGTTGGGGAGATGGATGCATCCCTCTGTTGACTCTGAAGGTTATGAACATTTAAAGGACACATCGGGCTCTCCTTATTCTGAATTCCAAGCTCATGGAGCAACCTCCTGATGATAATCAGGCTTCCTGTATAGGTGTGACAGAGAGAGGGTGGCCAGCCACGCTGACATGAGCACCGTGATCCCGCAGACACTTTGGTCCCCATTGTAACTGGATACATTGGCAGGAAGGAAGCCCTGTCGGTCCTTCCTGCCCTTCTCAGAGCCCTCTGTGGCAGCGAGGTTCACTCCTGCCTTTTACCTGTAATTGCTGACAGCCTGAAGGGTGGAGAAGCAGAACTGTGCCCTTCTCTTTGTTCATTTGCCCATTAATTACCTGTGTGGAGAGCATTTACTTAATGAGGTTTAGGGAGTACTGTGCTAGGGACTTCAAAGGACGAAAGAACAAATAAAGCGTAGTCCCCCAGTGTGTGGATGTTCAGCAAGTGTAATCAGCTCTTGCTCAGTTTTTACCTCTTCAGTTATGTTTAAATTTGTTTTTGAGTTTGAACATAGTGTGAGAGTGACCTCATCGTAAAACAGAGGGGTCACTGGTTTTCAAATGCAGTTTGTTTATATTTCCTTCCTAGGCTCTTGGAATGACATCATCCCAGGACCGAGCAGTGGTCAAAAAAAAACTCAAGGAAATGAAAGTGTCTCTGGAGAAGGCTCGGAAAGCTCAAGAGAAAATGGAAAAACAAAGAGAAAAGCTGAGAAGGAAGGAACAAGAGCAAATGCAGAGGAAATACAGAAAGACAGAGAAGATGACAGCTGCAGCAGAGGGCGCTGGCGAGCAGTGACCCACACCCTCTGAGGAGGTGGGGGTGCTCCCAGAGAGTCTGCCTTCCTCCCGCCCTGCTCTCCTCCGGAGGAATGAAGAAGAAACTGATGACAGGGGTACTGTGCTATGTAGGCAGGTCGGGGAACCTTGTGTTGAATAACTGCATTTTCTGTGATAATGGAATACCCTTAATTTTAACCTACTGAAATAACCCCAAGCAACCTTTAGTTTATTAACAAACCAAGAAGTTCGTTTATGAGAGATGCAAATTAGGTATGTTTCCCTCTTCTCTTACTTATAATATCTTGTGCTGTGTTGGGTGGGCGGGTGCGTCTCTTGCGGGAAAAGCCAGCATGACAATGCCCAGCAAGACCATGGGTTGTTGCTGAGTGCCATGATTGTCAGGGTGGGGTCCTGACCCTGCACATTGGTATCTACCTGTGTGGCTGAGAGCACTGCTCTGCTGTGAGATCGGGGCTGCAGGATCCCCTTCAATGTGTGGAAAAGGTTCCCCCTCAGTTCTGTGTCGGGACAGTGAAACAACCCCACTGTGGAAGCCTGGGTGTTCTGCCGCATGATTTATTACCTACTATGGCAAAGGGCAAGCAAACTGCCCTCCTTGCTGGGCATCTGAAAGGGAGAAAAGAATTCCAGTTATTTGTGAACCCCAGAAGGAAGCAGAAGCCTTAAGAATGTGGATGTGGGTATTACCTTGGGATTCTGAGGGTAACATTTACCCTCCAGACTCAGTTGAACAAAAGAAAAATCAGATGTTAAGGCAGCCGTGGGACACTGGGATCTGTTGTTTACTTTGCAACTGCTGCGCTTCAGGATCTTAGCGGCCCCCGCACACTCAACACGATTCCTTCTCCCCAACAAATTGAACAGGAAATTGATTTTTAAGGAAACCAACATTTTCAGGTTTCCTCTCCTGGGAAACGTTCTGGCTAGTCTTCAGCCGAACTGTGGCACAGTCAGGAATTCGTCACACATTTTCTCCTCAAAAGATTTCCCAAGTGGACTCAGTTAGTGTTTTAACAAATGTACTTTTTAGAAAAATAGAAGTACCAGTTTGAGAAAATTTAGATTTGAGTAACATTCAACCAGAGAGGCAATTTCATGGAGCGCACAGAATGTTCCTATAAAGGAGAGCTGTCAGTTGCGTTTAGCGATGCTTTCAATGGTTTTTCCGAGCCATTCTCTTCCATCCTTCAGAGATTTTCACTTTATAGTTCAAGTGTGTTTAAGGCAGTACACAGCATACGGGCTAGCAGTGGAGGCAGTTCGGCCTGTTTTAAAGCCAGCCCCCGGTTCAAGTGCCGGATCCAGAGCAGAAGGAGGAAAAGAGAACTCATCTTGAGAAATTTCAAATTATGGATCTTATTTTTGTTTTTGTTGTTGTTTTGCCTTTTATGTTTATGTATCTGGTTCTCTTTGCTGCATTGGCTCTGAAAATGAGGTCATCCACTTTCCAAGGGGCGAGTTCCAAAATGAGAGTCGAGGGCAGACAAATTCTTGGACAAGTATTTTACTTCCTTTCCTACGTGGAGAGTCTCCTTTCATACCTTCCACTGGAAATGTTGTACACGCAGAGCTTGGGGAGGGGCCTTTGGGGGTTGCAGGCAACAGATAATGAGGGGCTCCCACCTGTGAAGCTCCATCTCGTGTTTGAACATTTGTTTATTGAAATCTGTTATTGTCTAAACTAGAAAATTGTACTTCTGTTCTTTCCCAGATGTCTTATCTGTTAAACTTTAGTGCTTTTGTGTCTAGGTGCAAGTCACTCATTCCTTCCTCAGTCACACTGGCCCGAAGTCACACTGTGTTCTACAGTGAGCAGAGTCACCACGTGTGTTTTTTCTGTCCGTCTTCATTTTGGGGTGTGATGATGAAACTGTCGTACTGGATATTCTGTTAATATTTCGAGATGTGTGGTGCTTTGCTATTTATTAATACCACCAGAAACAAGGAACCACTATTAATGAACTACAAAATCCAGGAAACCTTTTCTAATACTAAAAGACTAAATTAGTCACAATCTGGTACTGCTAGAGCTTGCTATTATAAATTTTTGCCATTTTTTCTTGTCTTTGAAAAAAGTGACCTGGATCACACTGGAAGTTTCACTGTATTCATTTTAAAAATGGAAATAGAAGGATGATTATCTTAAGTTATGTTTACACTTTGGTAATATTTGAAAATGGATGTATATACTGGAAATGTCTGTAAGTCTCAGTCTCTGCACATAATTTATGATCTATTATATTGCATTTTGTTAAACGTCTTAGAATATTGTTATTTGTCTTCAATTTGTTTGTATACTTCCAATATTTAAATTAATGACCAACTGACAATAATTAATCAAATTCTTTTTCTTCAAATCATTTAATTTGTGTTGTAACTATTTTGATTTTTAAGTTAAATTATAGTAGTTTTCACCTTAATTGTTATTTTTAACATTACTATTTAAAACTGCTGAAATTATAAGAGTCACTTAATCTGCTTGTCCAACAAAGGATAAAATGTAAACTGATCGATAAAAGGGTATGAAAACAGAGGGAAGGACCTCAGAACTTGTGAGCATTTTGTTTTCCTACTATTTTTTAATCCACACCAGTGCATGACGCCTCATTGCGGTTCCAGTGTCTTACCCAATCCCTGCTTCAAAGCTAGTGCGTTTTCGGTGTCCTCACAACCTAACACAGAACAGTTGCTTTGTGAACCTTAAAGACTTCGCAGTTTTTTCTTTATCAAAGTGAACAGAAAGGGAATATCTGGTTACTGTGAACTACCTATTCCCTAAATGACAGTTCTGTATGACTGACAATAGCCAGAAGTGTTTTGGGATACATGCAATGCTTTGGGGGGGGGGCGGGCAGGGAATGTGTGGTGAGGCCAAGCTGTGGACCAAGAGCATTGTGTCAGCTCGGCGTCCAGGTTGGATTCTTCCATTGAAGGGCTTTAGCTTTATAACAGAATTAGTTTATTTAAGACTATCTCCCATAAAGTAATCCACAGTTTATGTCATAGTTTTCTCATTCTTTTTTATTTTCTTTGCCTGAATCAGAAGCTAACTTCAGAGGAATAGGTTATGGCAGAAACCTAATTTTGCCCATTCTGCCAGATCGAGGAAGTCCACCTCCAGTTTCATGATAATAAAGCTATTGTATGCTAACTTTCTTTGGCTAGGGTTGATGAATTTCCTTCCCTCAACATCACATACGCATTTTTCCCCCAAGTGCTAATGCCAGACTCAGCTTTTAGGAGGCATGAAATGGGAACCCCTACCTGGTGCTCCTTTGTTATTGTTGGGAACAAAGTGGCAGGAGGATGCGTGAGAAACCAAATTAACCTTTGCCGCTGCCTATGCTGCAGTCGTCTCCAGCCTGAAACCTTGAGATATCCCAGGCCCTGCCTACAAACATAGTCACAGGTTGTTTGACCTTAATTAGCCTGTATGGTTTTTGCTGAAGACAAAGAATTCTCATCTAGATTGTTTGTGTGATTGGATTAGCAGGTGCTTTAAAATTATATTTTAGAAGGTAAATGAAAATTTGCATTTATATGGATATTCTAACTCACTCAGAAATGTTAAAGGTTACAACAGACCAAGCCTCAAAAGAGAAAAACGCAGTGTTTAACAATAGTATTCGAGAAGACTCTTAAGGGAGGTGTCCTAACAATTCTAAAGAATTATCTATCCTTTGAAGGTGTTGTAGCCTCCTTGCTTCGCTGAGACATCTAAGAATTACCAAATTTCATTTGAGTAACCACATCTCCTGCCCCAAGAGAGCTACAAGGGGCGTTTCACTGTGGTAGACAGCAGTCACTAAGGTTTCCTGTCCCCCAGCTAATGCTAAGTCCTGAGTGCTTTCCGAGTTTTTCAAATTTACCTTTAATCAAGGGCCTACCTGTACACTGTTCTGAAGCTAAGCCATTAAGGAGGAGGTCCAGAAATCAAATGTCCATATTTTCAACTAGAATTGTTTTCATTATGATGATGGGGTGGGCAGTAAATTTCTAAAGAAAGTGTTGTAAGAAATATGAATGTGGTTGCTGCAATTCACTCCTGAAAAACAGCCACATTCTGCAGGCAGATTTTAGTTATATTTGTCTTAGTTATTTAAAGACTCAGGGAATTTAGTCTTGGTCCAAAACCCTGGGGGAAAAAATAACGCCAGACAGCACACCGGTAGTGTTTGCATGACTTCAAGCAGCAGTATAGAACAGACACAATCGTAGTCACAGGGTAGGGACGAAGCCCACAGATCAGCTTCCCCCTGGAAAATGAAAGCAGCAGGTTCCCCCTGATGGTGGACAGAGGCTCCTTACGTGCCTGTGCGTGGTGTCTGTGGGTGCATTGAGGGCATGGTCGTTACTTGAAGGCTCACATACCAAGCACAGCACGTGCCCTGCTTCCAAGTGTACAGAGTGGGCAAGGAAAGAAACAGGATGATAACCGCAGGCCCAGCCCCCAAACTAGGAGATTCAAGAATGAATAAGAGGCAAGGAAGAAAAGAACAAGAGCTAATGTCTCAGTAATGTGCATGCCACTTGTGTAGATATACAGACTACATATGTGTGAATATATCTCCCACCTTATACACACATACCGCAATGACATGGCATTTTAAAAAAATAGATATTGTCTTTGGAGCTTGGTATTGTCAGTTAGGACACCCAGCAGTAATCATAGCCTTATTGCCACTTTTTGTGTTGTATATACATTGAATGGCTCATAAGATTTTAAGAGATTTTTTTAATGTATTTCTTCTACTAAATGCACTTATCCTTCTACATGTCTATATATTTTGGTAAAGTTGATTTATTAGAAACTTGGTATTTTAGTAAGATAAAATTCCCTGAAGTGTTTGGTTAATGCTTTGATGTCAAGATTGCACATTGCTGAGTTGAAACTCAGAAGTTTATGCAGCTTTGGGCATTTTCAACTGCAGACTGCAGTTTCCTTGGCTAAAAATTGCACTGTGTGTTCTTGTGCATTCGCTCCTGCTCTACTAGGACATTTTCGGTAGCCGTGATGCCTAAGTCACTAACTACTGGCTCTGACGGCAGCGTTGCCGTCACGTGACATTTAGCTCCCTTTTGCCGAGTGATGACCTGGTTAGGTCATTGCCAAACGGATGTCAGTGTGAGTGTGTTGTTGGAAGGTGTACACTCCTCGTTCTCTCAGCTATTTTATGAACACACCTGGGTTTTCTGGTAAGGATTTAAGCTTTCGTGTATGAAAGAACAATTGGCCAAAGATAATTAAATTACCTTAAAAAGTGGGACTTCAGAGGCATTCTGGCTAGATAACACCTCCCAACAACATAAGATTTAGTTAGTGCATAGTGAAATCCCTTCAATATTTATGTATATGTTTTCCTGAATATTATTTATGGTCACCACTACTGCTTTTGTATTTTTTTAATGGAGTTACAATTAAACCACAAGTACACGTGTTGCATATGATTGACAAACTAACCAGCTGAAAAATGAGGAGAGAGAATGAATTCTGTTCCATTGTAACAAGTTGATTTATTTTATTCTTTCTTTCTATAAAGGCAAAAAGTTGTTTGAAAGTAATTTTAAGTCCACTAAACATGGACAGCATGTTCTCTGACACTTATGATTTGTGCTCTTCGGTGTCTGATCATTTGCATGGAAGAGACAATAGTGCCACGTCTGAATTGTTCTCCTGTGCTTGGTTGATATGTATTTCTCTAGATTGTTCCGTTTCAAATGGCATTTCTTACTCTTTGGTTTTCAAGAGCATTCAAAGCAAACTATCCTCTGTTTTCTGATCAATCTAAAACCCCGTGTGATTAAATCCCATTTGTCAGTGTAAATAAAGTTCTCACCAATGAGTATTGTTGTTGTTAGACGACGAATGCAATAAAAAGAGAAACACCGCGGTCTGTCGCCGCCGTTTTTGTCCCTCTTCCCTTCACCATCCACAAGCCTTGACGGGGTAAACCTGTGTCGACTGTCAGAACACATCTACCCATCAGGAGCAAAGTGCACATTTTCCATTGGGATGAAACCAGAGATAAGTTTTAGCCCTGGTAAAGTATAAATTGGCAGTGAGCATTACATTAAAAGCCTAATTATGGAACTGAGCATGAAGTTAAAAGATCAAAGCTTCCCTAGAAGCTCCCTCACCTGTCTTTCTGTTTCCACCTTGGCTTCGCCATCACAGGCCCCGACACCCGTCGGCCAGGAGAAGGTGGTGACAAATCCTTGAGCAGCCGGCCTCACACGGTCTCGCAGCATGGTTGGTGGGGCAAGCTAAGAATCGGGCCATCCCAGAGAATGGGGTTCCTTTCAACAATTTTGTTTCCAAAGCTTTAAGTGGTGGGAAGACTTGAATATATCAAATGAGGGGTGTTAATTTCTCTCTTTCACACCCCCCCACACACACACACCCCATAATGTATCTGTGACTAAACCTTTGGGTGGGGGGCTCAATTTGCTTACTTTATTACAAATAAGAGAATAGACTGTGGTCATTTTATTGATCATATCAAGCTATTCTTTTTAAAGGAAATAATGTGGCCTTTTTTCAACCTAAGCACCACAGCTACTGATGGGTTCAAAACAACAGTTCTGAGAACCTGGCTTCAAGGGCGGCAGACAGCATCACTGAATAACATGACGTCACACTCACTGAATGGTGACTAAAAATAGCCCTTATCCTGTGGGGAGGAAAGTGTTTTTCAATCCAAACAAAATGTTCCTGTTGATTACTTTAAGGCAGTGGTCTTAAACTATTAGCCCTTCTCAGTTTATCAGCAAAATATGTTTCTCCAAATGCCAGACCATCATCACAGCAAACGCCTTAGAAAAATGTTGTTTCTAACGTGGCTGCCTTAACATCCCAGAGAAATCATTCAGCCTGGAATCCATGCCATCAGACGGCTTTTATAAGAAAATAATAGCCATATTTTTTTCCTTTCTTCAGAGTCATGTCCCTCAGAAGATAGCCAAAGGTCATTGATCATTTCTATTTTTGTTTACCTTTCTATTGTGTTCTTCTTAGTCCCCATAGCAAGTTAGAATAGAAAAAGAACAACCACCACCTCAACCACAGGGTTGTCTTGGGGGCACTTAGCTTTACCCGAATCATCTATGGGCTTCGCTCTGTATTCAATCACTGACGTGAACAAACTTCTTCCTTTGACCAGCTCAAAGGAACTGAAATGTATAATTTGTGCTGATGTAACAGACACTCCTATGATGATGTTCAAGTGTGAGAACACTTCCAAAGAATTTTAATTTTATCACGTGCCGTTTTCTAGAGGAGAATTGAATAAGCAAGAGTAAGAGGAGAGTTGGGGTATCCACGTTCATATTTACGAAGAAAGTCATTTGCAGCGGGGGGAACAGAAGTCTGACTCTGCAGTGTGTCTAATGGCTTCACTGAGGGAGAGATGCCTGGAGTGGAGGGGTGGTGGTTAGTGCACAGCCGGTTTTCTGGCGCATGAAAGGAGTCCCTGGTTGGGTACTGGGATTCTGATGATTGGTGAGGCCATCCTGCTCTCCTGTTTTATTTTTTAATATTATATATATATATATATTTTAATCCTCACCTGAGGATACGTTTAATGATTTTAGAGAGGGAGAAACATAAATGTGTGAGAAAAACAAAACATTGGTGTCCTCCCATTCACTCCCCAACCAGAATCAAACCCGCAGTCTGGGTACACGTCCTCACTGGGAATCAAACCCACAACCTTTTGGTGTATGGGGTGACACTCCAACCAACCAAGCCACTCAGCCAGGGCCTGCTCTCCTGTTTTCTGAACAAGACCCATCAAGGCAGCGGTAAGCTCATGTGTGCTTAGGGAACACAGGCCTTAGGGAAAGCACCTTTGGGGTCACATACAGTTACAGGATTAAATACCTGACACCTGACATGACAACATTAACCATTTTATTGTGAAGGATTTTTTCTGGTAAATGAGGTTTTAAAATCACCTGAGACTGATTTGATATTGTACTCTCAGCAAGCTCTACACATCGTATTTCTCAGTTCAACAGCACTTTTGTCCCTAACAATATCCTCATTTAGGGTCAATGCTCATCGTTCAGATGAGATCACGGTGGTCTCTTGGAGGTGGCAAGCAGTTGAAACAACAGGCTCACAGCTTCCATGACATGGGTGCAAATCCCCCCCTTAGAGTTCACAGTACAAAGCTTTTTGGTACACAGTGCCAATCAGCAGTTTCCCCTTGTACACAGAGGCGACCGAGCTTCCTTGCAACACTGTGCCGTTTTCTGCATAAGCCACTGTGACTTTCGGTTCCTCTGTTAAAATGTTCTGGATTTGGAGCACCTGTCAAAGCAATAATATTTGGTTAATTTTTTAAATCACTTACAACTCTAAATATGGGGTCATTTCTCCAAAAGAAGCCTTTAGGTAAATTATATTTTGTTCCAATATATTTGTCAATGTAAGACACCTGTTTCCTCTTTGGCAAAATGACAGGCAAACCAAGGCAAGGCAAGAAATAAATGAAGACCATAGCTTGCATGTGAGGTGTTAGGGAGCAGGAGAGACTATGGTAAATTTGGGTGGGGGGAGCAAACTTAGTAATATACAAACAGTGTAGTGTATTATCAGATGAACTAAGAATTTGAATGTTTATACTTAATCCTTGGTTTTTAAATGCTGGCAATCAAAAAAAAGTTTGTCCCCAAAAAGAATATATCTCTGTACCACACTTAACCATTCCTCCGAACCTAAGACCCCACTTCTAAATAGGATTGTGTAAGTTCAGTTTCCTTCATTTAGTTGAGCAGAAAGAGGATTGTATCTTGAGCGACAGTGTAGTTAGGCTGACGACATGCAATAGCCCATACTTGACATTTTTTGGCTGATAAAATGGCAATTTCACATGAGTCATTTTACTCTAACGAGCACACTGTAAGTCTGGAGTCCAAGGTTGTGTTGTGGGTCTTCTGTTTGCCATTTGTTTCTCGTCTGTAGAATGAAATGGGTGGGACTAAGTTCCCGTTCTACTCTAACTTTCTATTCTTCAGCTTGGAGGATGAAACATAGTGACTGGAGGAAAGGACAGCTACATATGAAAACATCGAACATGGCAGCCCAGGAAGGCCAGTGCCTGGACAGTAAAGGGTCAGTAGGAGCATTTAAGAGGACCTCTTTAAAACAGCTGATGCCAAAGACAGATATTTGAGAAAATTGCCATAGCATTAAATCGTAGTGGTTACTGGGAAATAGTTGATGGTACACCTTGGCTCAAGTAATTAAGCCTCTTTTAATAAACCTAAAGTACTCTTCTGTAGGAGAAAACATTAGATAATGGAGTGTTATTACTTTCTGTTATGCTTTAACAGATCCATCATTAGAAAGAAAGTATTGCTTCCAGAACAGCAAACCAAGTCCATGCAATAGCAAATGACCCAAGTTCACCAAATGAGCTAACAAATAGGAGCAAATTAGAATCTAACATTCTGCTGAGTTCCAGTGAACACACCACAGTATACATTCTTCAATTCTATTAAACATGCAATGCAGCATTCTACTAGTAAGAACGTTCAGAAGGTGCAAAGGATTGCCATTAAACATCATCATGATTGTCCTGTAAACCTAAAAATTAAAGGTATAAAGGGCTGTGATGTAACTGGAAATACACATTTGGTGGTTGTGTTTTTTTTAAATCCAAGACACTGTAATCCAATAGGCTATAAAAATATTTTTTTCTATTGAGGGGATGGTGTGAGTCTGACTCTTAAAACAGCTTTAAGCCCTGGCTGGTGTGGCTCAGTGAACTGAGTGCCGGCCTGCAAACCAGAGCCTCTGGTTTGATTCCCAGTCTAGGGCACATGCCTGGGTTGCAGGTCAGGTCCCCAGTAGGGGGCGCACAAGATGTGAGCACATACTGATGTTTCTCTTCCCCTCTCTAAAAATAAATGAAATCTTAAAAATTAAAAAAAAAAACAAAGCTTTAAAAAGTACATATTACTACATCAAACATGATAGCATGTATTTGATGTAAATAACAAGTGTAAATAGCAAACCCCAGGTAAATTATAGTAAACATTTAAATGTCTGTGGCAAATTGACGTTCAAGTTCTTACTTGTACCAATAAAAGTCCAATAACTAAAGACCATGAACACCAAGTGGGTCTTTGGGTAGTATAACTAAGATGGAAGAAAAGGTCTTTAAATCCAAAGTAATCTGGCACATGATTTACCTTCCCACTGCAGAGAACGTTAGAGGCTGCCTGTCTGAGCTTTAGAACTGGTCCGCTGCATTAACTTGGGCACACACTGACACACGGGAAGGGCTAGTTGCATAGGCAGGCAGATAACTTGATGAGACCACAGCAATGTGGTCCATTATATTTTTTAATTATTGTGAATTCCCAAGTTGGAGAAACACATTAGTGAAATAAAGACATGGACTCCCATTCAATGCTGGCTGCCCTAACCCAGCCCGAGGTCCACTCTCCGCTCAGCTCAGATGCACAAAGACTGACATTGAGGGATCCCTTGCTCTCCAGCTCCCGGTTCGGACCCACCAAGGGACAGCAGCAGCGGGGGAAATGGGAGGTCCGAGGGGAAGGACGGGGACCTGTCCCTGGAGGTCTGTGCTGGTTGGCTACATCCCTCAACCAGAGGCCAGGATCCTTTCAGAAGAACCACTCTGCACACAGCCCTCTTCTTGCTCTGGTTTCTGTAAGCCGTCCCTGCCCCCTTGCCAGTCCTGGGCTACAGCATTATCCCCGGTTGGTTTCCCCACACTCGGCCCACAACTGTGTACACAGTGTCCTTATTTAATCCCCTCAAACTACCCAGTTTAAATGTACCATCTGTCTCCTGCCTAGACTCAGTCTAAAACTCCTCCCAAAGTCAAATTCTTTTTTCCAGTGGATCATTT